TGCGCTTAATCACAGATGCCAGTGAAAAAACGCTTAGTGATGGCACAGCCTCTAATCGTAGAAGATATTTCCACGTATGATGGATCACTGTGTAGAGCTGGTAAATCCGGTTCGAATGAGCGTACAGTGACAACGCTGCGAGAAGTTGCAGATAGGATAGAGGAAGATAATCCAACTGAACCGGTAGCACGCACGTCACACGTGTGTGAGGATGACCTTGAGGTGGTCTTCAAAAGGATGTTGACGTGGTGTACATCGGCTTTAGTAAGGCGTTGGACAGAGTGAATCACGAGATACTCCTTGGTAAACTGAAGACATACGGTATCGGTGACACGTTACTTCAGTGGTTACACCAGTTTATTGTGGGACGAAGGTTTAGAGTACAGGTCACTGACTACCTGACAGACTGGTTCCCATCGACCAGTGGCGTGCTTCAAGGAACTGTACTTGGGCCAGTATTATTTCCTATTCATATTAACAATCTTCCATAGCAGCTCCAGTCATCATGTGCCCTGTTTGCAGACCGCTTGAAAATCTGAAGGATTATTGAGAACCAGGACGACTGCGCTCGCCTCCAGCATGACTTTGAGCGACTGTCAACGTGGTCCACTGAGATACAACTCCCTCTTAAGGCAAGCAAGTCGGAGTTCATCAGTATCGCTAGACATCCAGCCACTCGAGCATACACCTTGGACGGCCAATTACTCCACCCTAACACATCTGTCAGAGACTTAGGAGTTCTCTCGCGACATGATATGAGATCAGTGGAAAATACAGAGAAATTGTACTGTGCGGGACTTCGGATGCTCTGGGCATTAAGAAGCAGTTTCTCTACATGGTCCGAAGAAACCGTCCCTAGTCTATTCACCTCGCTCATTAGACTAATCCTTGAATATGGTGCCCCAGCTTACCATCCGATAACCCAGTGGGAAACTGAAAAGCTGGAGAAAATACAGCACATCGCAACTGGAATGATACCGAGTATACGAAAGCTTCCGTATGAAAAACTTCGTGAAAGGTTCGGACTCTACACACTATCCTACCGCCGAGTGCAAAAAGACCTTATAATGACCCAACGAGTAACACACTTAAATCACTTCCCCATACTGCGGCCAACATTTCACCTGCGGGAACCCTGCACCACCCGAGGACACCGTTCCAAACTCAGGGTCCCCTGCATGAATAAAGTATCACATCAGCTTTTCTATCGAACGACGAATCGTAAACTTATGGAATCCACTACCAGAAGGACTAATAGAAGTCGATTCTGTGGAGTGTTTTAAAACACGTATCGATGGTTACTTCGGAAACCTGTGCTTTTGTGAAACGATGCACATACAATGCCAAAAGAAGACATTGAATGCCCGGAAATAATGACACTAATACAAAATCCTAACCAAAAGGGATAAACGATTAACGGACCAGACACAACCGCTGATGATTCACAACTGTGTTTGATTTTTTGTAATTTGATAGAGTTGTACAGAAACCTTTCTATTTGCTCTTAAATACAGTCTCAGTCTCATTCACCACCACTGTGAAATGACGCCAATATGTACAACACCGTTATGTTATTTTCGCTTAACCGAAACAATCGCCTCCTGAATCGCAATAGGTCTTCCATCTCAGCTTCGAACCCAACTTTTTGTTCATTTAGGGTGAGAAACGGGACTAAAACCTGCTCAGTGTTTGTAGTGCAAGAGAACCTGATGCGGTGCTGAACAAACGGATAATCTCTTTCGGCACTGTGAAGCTCAACCTAACGAAAAAGTAAGAATATGTTAGTTTATAACTAGTATAAATCACATTTCCTAGGGCACCTGGGACCCAAATTCACGCAAACTCAGTATCCTTTCTTCTTTTTAGAAGACTAACCCTACTCGGATCTAATCCCAGTGTTCTAACGTTGCGTGTTTTAATCGCTCATCTTGAAAGACGAGGCAACACCCAAGCCCAGTTGTCAGTAACTGTGGTGGCAGTTGAGTGCAGGAGGATTTTAGACTGTATGTACCCAGTGAAAACAACAGTGTATTGATCAGCGACCTGGACTACCTTCTCTGGGGAAACAGCGCAAACTGCTGGCCGAATAGAATTATGCCTAGGAACTTAGGCTCATTAAATGGTGGCGAACGAGACAAAGAACCACAATCGTGCTACGTTAACAACAAATCACCACAGCTTATCCTACGCTGCAAATATTCTCTAAGTGTTCTGTGGTAAGCAGAGTTTGCTGGAAGCCCCAAATTTCCTTCATCTTTGATGGGCTAAACAACAATACAAGTGAACCCATAATTTGTATTAACGTGCCAATTGAGTAAATGACTCACGCCATGCATCAAGCCGCTGCCCACCATCCACATGGTGAACAAAGCAAAACAGATTCGTGCTGACTGAATACTCCGGTTGGATTTGATGATTCCAAGGAACGTCAGTACTTCGACATAGTTAAAGAGACAGGTGGCTCGAAGAAAATTCAAATCTGTCAGCAAAAGGGAAATGAGTATGTTTTTATGTGGTTTCCAAATGAACTTTTCTTGAAAAAGTTTCATTCCTACTGTAAGAATAATTACCTTTGAAATAGTACCTCTTCAGATGACAGCGATGCGTGTGTTACTGAGCCACACATGCTAAAGTGTGGAAACAAGTGGGAGCACCGCAAATTTAAGATTTCCCGACTAACATTTTGTGTTAACAAGTATACGGATACGGTTTCTCAGCTGTCAGTAGTAGGTGAGGTTCCTTGAGGTGATGTTCCTTGAACTATTCATTATGAGACAAATTTAATGGGTCTTTTATAGAAGGTTAGCATTGCTCACTTCCAAGACTGTAGTCCCCAAACCGGCTTCCTAAGTCTTTGCAGTCCTCGTGTTGAAGCCTAGGAACTCTGCGTCCTAGTGACAAAGACTTCACCCGCAGTCGTGACGCCTCGGGTTATCTATATTTGAAATATCCAACCAAGGACGAAGGAACTCGTGGGGTTTTGTGTTGGCATAAGCAAGCAACACCCAAACGTACATGTGTTTCAGACATGGTCCAGATGATCAGAATGGCCACCGTTCACTTCAAAGCAAGTCACAATCCAATTTGATACTGTGCCAGTATTCCAGACCTCAGAGCGTGTGTTCTGCTTCAAAGCTCGAAGTCGGACCCTTTGCGTTCATGTTTCAGTTAACAGTGGCCTTACGCGATCCAGCAACTGTGTTCTGTCCAATTCCGACGCAAAAGATATCTATTCGTTCTCTATACGGAACAGGAAAACAGTCATTCTTGCAGTAGCTTGCGACACTGGACTTTTTCTCGTTTTTACACCAACATTAGCCATTAGTCTTACCATGTATAATGTCCAAGCCCCCACCCGTCTCCCTGAATAGTTCAATTGCTTATTCGGTGTCATCGTTCGAATGATACTAATTCTTTCTAGTTCCAAGTAACACTTTTCCTGTGTTTCCGTACGTATGTTACAAAATCGCAAACTTTATACACGCTGTTGCAATCCAGTACCTGCGTCTCATGCGTGATGCTGAGACGTTGAGACTGTTGCCGACGATATACCAAACAGTAACATTCCGCGAATTTGTGTGTTAGTTGATATTCACATTACCATGGTTTTTTCTTAAGTAATAAAAGTTCGACAGACGACTGTTCCAATGATATCAACACGATACACGTAGCCGGACACCGAAATACGAAACTGTGCCAGTAGCTGTTTCTAACGAATTGTGGAAATCGTTTAAGATCACCTTCAAAATAGTTCCGTTCGGAGCTGAAACATCACCACAATTGATGCTACAAATTCTCAACGCTGTTCCGCGGGTAGTATTCCTAGGATCTCGGTAGCCTAAAATTCACATTTTCTACCGACGTGAAATGTGTTTTCTTGAGTGTCTAGTTGCATATTTGAAATAGACAAAGGTCGCTGGGTACAAGGTTTGGTGAACAGCCGATAGCTGAAGCACGGTTATGTGTGTTAGTGCAGAAAAAATCCCAAATACCACTTCTTGTGACGTTCACTCTATTTACTTGTTACAAGTTTTCCAACTACTTTTGTACTACCCTGTATCATGTTTAGTATTTCCACAAATATTCGCTTAACCCTTTCCTTGTCTAGCTTGACTTTATTAGACATTGCTCAAACAATACGTGGATCCGGAGCAGAACACGTAAATGGATCAACACAAGAGATGAATTCTGGAGGCAACATTTGCTAAGCCCATGTGATATAATATGGCAGGATTACAAAGTCATCAGAAACTATTGCACGTCACTCATTAGAGTCGATAAGTACGAATGGCAGGAGAATATGGTGCTGAAATTTAGGAGTAACACCAAACTGCTCTACAGATTTGTGAATGGCAAAAGAAAGGTTAAGCCCGGAATACCACCACTCAGGACGGCCAGTGGCCTAACAACTACTGCTGTGGATACCGCGAATGCTCTACTCTTGCAGTTTGGCTCGGTAGCTACAAATGTCATGGAACCTTCGCCCTATCAACTCCCAACCAATGTAGTTGGCTTATCCAGCGTCACCTTTACTCCAGCAGCTGTTGCAAGCAAACTACAGTCTCTCCGGGAGTACAGTGTCCCTGGAATCGACATGATCTGCCCAAAAGTACTAAAAACCCTTGCTCCCACCATAGCAACACCACTTGCAACATTTTTCCGGTGTCTGCTTAACTCCCATACACTCCCATCTGAGTGGAAAAATGGAATTATCACTCCAATATATAAAGGAGGTAAGCGCTCGGATCCTGCTAACTACCGACCTATTACTCTCCTTCCTGTTTTGTCAAAAGTTATGGAATCGGTAATCGCAGATGAACTGACGCGATACTTTGAAAGTCAACAGATAATTTCTAAAGCCCAACATGGTTTCCGACGCAGCCGATCTTGTCTCACCAATTTGCTGATTACTCGGGACTTATGGACCAGGGCGGCTGATGAAGGAGTGCCCATAGATGTGATATACCTTGATTTTTCTAAAGCATTCGACAGGGTCAATCACTTCTTTCTCCTCCACAAGCTTGCTGCCTACGGTATCAACGGTTCCCTGCTCACCTGGTTGGAAAACTACTTACACGACAGAGCAATCAAGGTAAGAGTAGCCGACACCTATTCTGAAAGCCTTTACGTCTCCAGTGGTGTACCACAATGATCCGTCCTCGGCCCGCTACTGTTTTTAGTCTACATTAATGACCTTCCAGCAAACATTCTATCTCCAATGCAAATATTTGCAGACGATGCTAAAATATGGAGAGCAATTCGCTCAGCATCCGACGGTGTCTATCTTTAGGAAGATCTGACCCGGATTAACGAATGGGCAGAAAAGAACCAGCTCCCACTGAACCCTGCAAAGTGCCACCTGCTGACGGTGCACAACAGCTTCGTCAACAAACACCTTTTGGGGCAACACGTCATGCAACCCGTGACTAGTGAACGCGACCTAGGTATAATCGTGCAAGAGAGTCTTGGAAATTCGCTCCAATCTTCGAAAGCAGCAAGTGTAGCGAACTTGAACTTGAGACTTTTGAGGCGACCTCTCGGCACTTTTGAGCGACAGCTAGTACCGTTATTGATTAACTCCTACATTCGTCCTCATGTTGAATATTCAATTCAAGCCTGGTGTCCATGGTTAAAACGAGACATCCGCCTCTTGGAACAGCCCCAAAGAAGAGCCACAAAAGCAACGCGTGGACTATCCGGTATAAGCTACGAAATACGTCTTCGTGTACTCGGTGTGTTTTCATTAGAATACCGACGGCTTCGCGGAGATCCTACTCTCACATACCGGATATTAACCGAAAGCGAGCATCCATGTACATCACTGTTGACTCTAGCCCCATACAAACAAAACCGAGGCAACCACCTGAAACTAATGACGCAACACCCTCGTTTGAATTGTAGAAAGTATTTTTTCTCACTTAGAATCTGTTCTCACTGGAATGCATTACCAAACTATGTGGTGAACGCACCAGACATGACGACATTCGAAAGACTCTTAGATTTTCATCTTAGTGATAAACGATACACAACACTTTGTTAAAGTGCAATGATTTAACCACTGATACTTTAATTCCACGTTGGAACATTTTCATTTTCATTTTCTTTTGCACATCCATCCTGTGGGTCTTGTAAAGTTATGCTTTTTATCCCATCATACACCATTGAACCCAACCTTCAGCATTTTTAATCCAACCTCACACATAACCAACCTTGTCATCGGTAGCAGCTGCATATGTGCTAGAGTGATTTGTCCGTACGCTTGTTCGACAATCTTAACCAAGTAATTTTAACCAAGTAGTTTGTATTCACTCAGTTCTGTTACTTCTCCGCATATTTCCCGTTTATTTCGCGTTCCTTTTTATTATTTTCGCTGTTCGTTGTTTGAAATATCCTGATTTTCACAACCATTACCAAAGATCACCCATTCACTAAATCAGAATTAATCCACCTATTTTGCATTCACTCCGTTCGGTTGTGCGGCCACACACTTACGGTCTAGTTCATGTGTTTATTTTTTTTTCTTATTTTGCTTTTCCTGTTTGTTAACCCCGGTGTGGCTGCGTTTAGTGGGAATGTTAACAAAGTGCTTATCTTCCGAATAACCGCTAGTTCGATTATACTGGCTCAAGGTGCAAGTGTTTACCTTGGGAGACGGTGTGCGTAGTCCTCGTGACCGTGCTAGGCTCAAAGGGTGGCTCCACCCAGTGTAGTGAGGACTATGGCCCAGTCACCGAGTTGTGTATGGTTGGTACGTTTAACTCCGCACTTGGATAGACAGGAGTGCTACTGTTGTTCCTGTTCAAGGATTGTGGGGTCGGCTCCGTTGATAAAACCTGGCTCCCATGCACATGCCTTCCGGTTTTACTCCCTCGGGTTTACATTGGATATGGGGTGTGGGAGTGGTGCAGCGCACGCAACACGTGGTCCCTCTGTAGGCGCTGGCGTTCTGTGGCTGATCTGAGGAGGCCGCAAGGACAGGCAAATCCGTGACCGGATGCCGCCAATCTTCGCTTCTAATCTGCAAATCTAACCAAGTGTGTTATGGTCATCGATCGCGCCTAGCGACCGTGACTAAAAGCGGTAAAGTTAACACAGGGATCAAAGCACGAGTTAGTTTATGCTGTGTTCGGACAAACTGTGCCCGAGATTCGATATAGGTGTGGAGTCGATCTTGTTATGCAAGTTTAGGTGTGAGTAACGCCCGTGCTTTTATTTTGTTGGGATGCGTCCCAAAGACCTGATGGAGCTTCAGCTACTCGGCTTTCCAAGCAACCTTTGATACAACAGCCTACTCGTCTAATCTATCAGTAAAAATCGGGTTCCTCTGATTAGATTTACAAGATAATGAACTCCTTCAACTCACCCAAGTGCCGCTTCGCCATAAACGGAGCGAAGAGCGTTGGAGGTATGGCTATAAGGTCGATGATGGAGCCGTAAGTGAGGACGAATCTGGCTGGATCCGTGGCGGCGCAACACTGAAATCAAGATGGAAATTAATTGAGCCGATGTATTCAAAACATGAAGTTAGAGTGGATTTACGCAGACTACCTAATTGGAACACAACTGATAGTTGAGTTAGGTTCAAGTGGGAAAGGACAACAGTGTACGAACTCCAAGAACTTTCAGATATTCATCCTGCTTGGGTACCGCCCGTCATCTGCACTATCTCCAACAATCCAATGAACAGGCTTAGGCAGTGTCAGATACCATTGACCGAGCATTGCCGAGTACTAATGGATCATTGTGTGCATTCCAAGGACAGGGTTATGTGTCTTTCGCAATACCACAGTGGACGACGAAACACAGTCAAATGTCTGCGTGCTCAGAGCAGTGATGGATCTATACCAATTACCAGTCAACCACATACGTAACATAAAAAGCCTTCCTTAAGAAAATCAGGTTCTTCTGTTGTTCATCCAAAATGCATCTGATGTGTGTACACACAAGTGAGTGGTTACTCTTCGTTCAGTGGCTAATTGCGATACATGCACTTGAAACCTACTGGGACGTTGGTATCCATAGCTAGGTGCACTCCAAGATTGCTCAAGGAAGGTAATCCACTGAGGGCGCTTATTTGTAGGAACAACTCTAAGTCAGCTAGCTAATAGCATATTAGGCGCGCATATACCATGGATTGTCACTAGAATTATTGAGCCTGCGGCACGCTGGCGAGTGCGGCAGACGGACCAAGCTTTGGAGTGGGTCCGGTGGCGCTCGACAACCAAATTCCGCAACGAGTGGCTACACTGAAGCTAGTTTCATGCAAGCAAGGAAACACGAGTGGTCAGACTCACCTGGTACGGTTGGGCCTAGCGGTGACTATAGATGTACTCGTGAGTGGATATCATTTGAGGATTACCTATGTAGCCCCTAGTTGTCTGTCCGTCTATGTGATAATGGACATTCGCGCGGTTTGTTCTCCCAGGAACTGAGCTATCGTGCATGTGAATGCTGTGTTGGCCAAACATGTGCACCTGGCATGCAGTGACATGAAATTTTGGACCAAGAGGAAGAGACGGTTGGCAAAGTAAAAAAAACTGCCATCATTCTCGGAGGAGCCATTTCGTGACAGATAGTGGTGATGTACTACGTAGGGTCGAAGACACCAGCAAACTGCCGTATTTGCCGAAACTCCGTACTTATGTGTAGTTGGTGCGTAGCGACTCGCATGACAATCGCCGTTGAGTAGAGGGTGGACCAGGGTACGGTCCGCCAGTCAATATTCTGCCCCCCCCCCTGCAATTATGTTCAGACTAGGGAGTGCCAACTGATGTTGGCTTCTTCTTGTCCATTTCACATGTGTTCCCGTGCCATCCCGCATCCTGTGCGTTAAAGTGCGTACTCGGATGGTCATGCGAAAGGGGCCTTACGCGCAACCGCACGTGACAGACAGTTCGGCCGCAGTCACGGTAACCTCACATTTCGTGTGCTGCTCGCGCTATTCGATGGTAGCCAGATCGATTTAACTGTAGCTGCGCTTGACTGAGACATGGTGCGGATCGATAATCATGGATACCAGTAGCGTGTTGGGTGCACGCAAGATGGTGAGTCGGTGGCCCTGATTGCCTTAGTACCTCGTGATTGTTGGGGCAGCTAGATTTGTCGATTCAGCCGAGGCTGTGGTTACGCTGACTGTGGTGGTGGTGGTGGTGGTAGAGCCGGGCGAATCGAGGGATCGGACATCCTCAGTATTCGCAGGGCATGGGCGGAACAACAGTTCGGCGAATCGCACCAAATCATATTAGGCCACATCAAAAATGGATTTTATGTCACCACGAAGAACGAGGCTGTAACACACCCTGGACAGGGACAGTTAATAAAGTTGACTATTATAAAAGTAGATATGAAACAACATTTAACAAAAATACTTGGCATAGCTAATATGATTAAAGCATTCTAGCTATCAGTTCTTTATTTACCAAACTTGACCCATTAAAATAGGTACAGCTAAGGGATAGCTGGCGTACCGTAGGCTTATGTGCGAGCATATATGGTTTTGTACGTATGTATGACTAAGGAGCCTAGGGTGCATTCAGATAACACACTATGGAGAACGGGCTAGCCTCAGCGAACAACTTAGACACAAGTGTTTTGGAGGCGTCAACATGACTGAATGCAATAATATTAACAATTTTCGGTCCAGAAATAGCGAGCCGTTAGGATAGATGCTTCAATGACTTAACAAAAACTAGGAGGTCTTTACTTAAAATACTTGAAAGATCAAGGGATAGCAGTGGATCCAGGGAGATAACACTCACTCTGTGACAAACCGCTACATCAGACAAAAATGTATAGAAGAAAACCTGAGACAATACGTGTCTCCTGACTTTAGTAGATATTTCGTTCAAACGAATGAACCACGGATCAACTTCACGCCCAGGTATTGCCCTGATATAGAGGAGTACCGGTTTTCACCATACATGCGAGGGTAAGAGTAGTGGTTAAAGATGTGTTGGTAAAACACCTCCTAAACAGTTAGGAAGGAATTTTTCGTATTTTTACGCGTTCAACCTCAGACAAGTGGATTTTGACCAAGATGTGAGGCTGACTGCCAAGTGAAGTCGCATAATCCCGTTTTTGGAACATAGTTGGATCTTGGTGTTTGGTGAGGATACAATGAATTACTGATTCATCGCAAAACCTATGCTTACTGATCATCTTAGTAGAAATTGCGCTTCCCTTTCCGACGATTGGAACTTTCCTTGAAGGGTTGCGGTTTTGTTGAGAATCGGGAAAATATCATACTTACCCTGAGTACGTAGTATCCCAAGCAGAAGAGATTTATAGGGAAGTGCAGCCAGGCCAGTATCCGCATCTTCAGGTTGTAACAGACGCCAACGGCACTAAATGGCGCTTCGCTTTTGGAAGTAGGTGGGGAGAGGAATAAAAGGGGTCAGTTAAATGCATGTATCGATTGATGCCAAACACACATGCGTCACAAATTGGCTAGTAATGTCCAAACAAGCCATGTTTACGGTTAGTGAAGTCCTTCCATACAGTTCGTGTTTTGAAATCACAACGAATGAATGTGTCATAATGAATATAAGCCGCATGCCAAGAGAGTGTGCTTCAAATAGAGATTACCTTTATGACAATTCGGAATAGTTGCTTTCGGTAGGTTTAGAATATAATTCAGGTTTTTTGTTGTGGCTACGTTCCACTTTTGACGTAAGAGCTTCGTGTAGTCAGGTGAATTCATACATACATGTGTTTTCTTCATATCAAAGTAAGAAAATAATTGTGAGAAATAACAGGGGTCACTTATAGGTCAGTGGTTGAAAAGTCATTCTGGTGTAACAACTAGCATCGAACGTTCCCGACTGACCCGCGTCACAGGTCGTTCAAGTGGGAGACATTCTTGTTCCCGTTGCCATTGATTCACGCTTCGACCTGAGTCCGCGCGCCAACGCTGTTCAAACTGACCGCCACGCGTTAGTTATCTTCAGCCAATCCGTATTGTTCACGTAGTCATTGGCCATGGTGGTTTCCACCTCCTAAGCAACTAACCTATGGCCTGTTGATCGTATTCCTCTCTTAATGATCTCAACCTTTTCCCAATTGATTCCGTACCTTGCATTTAGTGCGCTGAATCTCTTAGTATGACCCTGTATTCAGGCCCGTTCCTCGATGGACGCGAAACGTGTCTCTTGTGTTTTCTATTCGTATGCGTACCTTTCTCTGGCGAGAGAGTGTCTCGACAGAGAGAAAGCAGCCTTACTTTCGCAAACTTCTCAAGGCCATAACCACTGATCGAGAAGGTCCACTATCGCGCGGTCAGAAGTAGCAAACCGACATATTATTCACCACCACCAAAGATTCTGCAACCTACCACTACGACCCGGGGACAGCAACATTCCAATTCGAGTAATATAGCATCTTATCAGAAACCTGGAAAAGCGTGTGAGGACATACACCCCAAACGCATACGATCTCTTAGTGGCATCCTCAGTTTCTAGTCTACTCTCGAACCCCACTTCCTCCTACAGAACAGTCTCACGATTTGCCAAACGATCCACTTTTTATGCCAGCATACGCTGCTACCAATAGCGCCTCCACGAATGACCATACAAAACCCAATAATGATCCATTTGTTTCACAACAGAGTCCAGTTGTTTGGTTACGGCCCACCGCCCAGGTCCATCATAACAGGGTTATACAATCAGACCTGTTTAAGGCGACCAGTCAAGGGACCGACGAAGACTGGTCGTCTTGGACGTGTAGTCGCCATGGCCAGGTTCATGCACAGCAACATTACACATAGTGTAGCGAAAAGGACGCGGGGAGGGGGGCAGAACGTGGATTGCCACAACAACTTGCCGCTGACAACACAAACCCGTACAGATTTGGACCGCGTTTCCTTCCCACGACGCAACGCGGATGAGGACTTGTGTGACGGGCCATTCGAGGGCCTAATAGGTTGGGTTTAGAAACAACCGCTCCATCTTTCGACCCCATGTCTCCGCTTCGCTACATCGGATTCTGGCCGGCCTGAGTCGTTCGAAAGCTCGCGATTTGCTCTCCCGTGGCTGCACCACTCGACCCGCGTTCATTCCTATGGGCTTCGCCAGTGCCGTAGTTGTCTGATTCATTGCCTTCTCGACAAATACCTCCTTTGTTCTGAGTCCAGGCTCGTTACCAGATGCCGCTCGTGATCTGCTGTCGGCTCCATTTGCAACGCTCGCTGTGCCTTGTCTCGTCTCATCCATTGCGCCCGTTGTTAATTCTCTATAAGCTCGTTTTTGTTGTCGTCACTGTAGTTGTAGTCACTGACTTCCGCCGCCAAACAATAGGAGTAAACTTCGGGGATCTTTTTGACTGGTTACCATAGACAGGTGGTCGCCGTAGCAGCTTGGACTTTCTAACTACGCGTCACTGACGGCAGGCATAAAACTGAAGCTCTGACACTGCTTGATTTCTATGTGCAGTCTCAACTGATCGCGGACTATTATACACCATTTAATCCCGTTTTGCGTCCCCTTTCCAAAATCGGAGCAAGTGCTGAAGGATATCTAACGGTTCTTGCAAAAACTGCAAAGCTTTCCAAATCACTCTGTGCTCTTATCTGCAGTGAATTTTTCCTCACTCATCTCAACTTACACCAACCAAATTCCAATCATTCGGCTCAGAATTATCAGCTCTATCGAACAACCACTTGGCCAGTTCTATCCCATCGCAATCTACAACTCTGGTGGGTACTTGGAGCCTTAGTTCCTAATACGACCAGTAAATCTACTTCCCCACTATCGGACCCTAGCTCTATTGTGTGGACTACATCACACCGGCAAGCGAGCCTTAACGACATCGATCAATAGACGCAAGTTTTCTCACCCCCCAAAGCCACTCGACTTTGCATGCGTGTCACAAAGTATGAACGAATCACCATAAAGTCAGATTGTCATTTATCCTCCGGGAGCGTACTCCATAGACCCGTGCACATACAGTGCATTTGAGAAGAGTCTTTCGTTTTTGCTCAGTCGCCGCGCTGGTCAGGGGTAGATTGGAACGCACTAATTTGCCGACCCACCAAT